ACCTTACGAGGAAAATATTACCACGCCTTTACGAGGAAAACTTTCCTCGTAAATTCGCTACAACCTTACGAGGAAAATGTCTTTACGATGAACGTGTTTCGAGGAAACGCGTTTCCTCGTAAGTTCCTAGTAAAAGGCCATTTACTAGGAACTAACGAGGAAAACCCGTCCTAGTAATGGACGAGTTTTCTTGTAGTGGCAGAGCCAGAGTTATTGGATTTGCCAAGCATCATATCTTTGGCTTCATTGATCTTAGAAGCAAGATAATGGCTACCTCCAGCGTCAGGGTGGTTTGCAACCATCACTCTCCTGTGAGCTTCTTTCACCTTCTCCGCCACTACCCTCTCCCTGTTATTATTATTAAAAACACCACAAACACACAGTCAAGCCACTGTAGAACAATTAAATTATTAATGTCCTCGAAAACATAAACTACAAGGTCGGTCCAAGGCTTTAACATAGGAATAACTTGCCGGTCCAAGGCTTTCACAACACAGATTCAAAAAAAGCACAAGGGGTCATTCACCTAACTATAGGCTCTAGTTGGTATCATGATGAAATCTCAAGACCATATGAGCAATAACAAAAAAAAAAAAACTGAAGAAGGAGGAGTAAGGACAGACCTAACTCCAAGGATGAGAGCAGCTTCACGCCGTGTCATTGCAGTTTGAAAACCACCTTCATAAAATCTGCGCATTCTAGGTATGGATGGCCTGGCCTTGAAGGCGTGCCAAGCAAGTATACCATATCTACCAGCTAGAGCAGCAGCCGCTACAGTAGCACCAGCAACCATTGGTGTAGCCTGTGTAACCCACAACAAGTACAAAGAAACATCAGATACCAAAAATAAAAGAAACTAACGTGGCTTTGGAATAAAAGAGAAGAAGAAACATTCTCAACTGCCTTCACAAAACCACAGATATAGATCAATCTATTTATCCATATTACTTCACACAACCAAAATCTAAATCGAGATAGCTTAGGTGATTGGGTAGTAGTTATTCTCAATTGCTTATGTCTTTTCTATAAAAAGTTTTTTTTTAAAAATTAACAAAATTCCCTTAAGTAGCTAAAGACTTACCATTAGATTTGAGCGAAGTTGTTACACAGATAGAAAAATTGGTCTAAAGGAAGGATAATTTCTTTAATTTTAAGATTTGTCTCTATCGAATTTGGGAAGCAGATGGGTTTAGGGTTCTTCTAGAGAAAGACGATGAAAGAAAAACAGAACAGAAAGATCTTTGCCTCCTTGTCTTTAAGTTTATTTGTTTGCGTGGGGAAGAGGTCAGCTACGTGAATATTTCCATTTTTTTTAATCAGGTCGGTTAGGCGAGTCAAAGTCAATCCCTTCTTCTCCCTTCAGAGGCTTTCGGCAAATTAAGTCATTCTTTCATATGTTATCAGTCGAATTAGTACCATACGAAGAACCTTGGCTACAAATGTTTTTATAAAATTTTGGATTTGATAATCCACTATTATAAAAGTATATTAATTAAGATTAAGCTTATAAAACTGCAACCTCAGATAGAGTAAATACAAACGGATTTACACATAATTAATTTTTTTTTTTTTTGATCAAAACACATAATTAAATATCTTAAATATTCAGCAAAACAAACAGAAATGTAAAAGGTAACCTTATAGTCGTATAATGAAATTTATTATAAATAAAATAACATAAAATGACACGCGTTTACACTCTGCACAAATGAATTACTCAACTGAAAGTGAACGTATAACAAACATACAACCATTTCCGACAGATACATAAAGTGGAATCATAAATTATATTATAAAAGACATAAATAAATAAATTACCTCAGCTTCCTCCTCCATTGGTCACAGCGACGCCGTTACTCTCCACCTTAGGCGGAGCTGAGAACCTCCGTGGTTTAGGCAATGCAGGTGACGCCGGATATGAGAGGCGTTTCTTAGCCGTAAACCCATCGTTCTCCTGTGTGGTACTACCACTTGATGGACTCTGCGGCTTGACTCTAGCTCTAGCTGATTTAGTTGGAACCATATAGCTCGGGAGAGTCTGTGAGCCAGCGAGGCTCTCGTCATCTCTTACAGATGAACCAGCGATGCTGTGTCTACGGTTCCTCTCGGACAGGACTGAGGTTGTGCTTTTGGTGTCCTCGTCGTTAGATTTTCTGGAGGATTGGTTGAGCCTTGAGGGAGTTGGTGGAGAGAAGAAACTGTTTTTGTTTCTTGGAGTGCCACCTCTTGCGGATGATGGTGTGTTTGGCTGAGTTGAGTTATTGCGGGTTACAGCTTTTGTTGCTTCGTTACGGTTAATAGAGGAGCTCTTGATTGAGGTAGCCTTGTCGTTGTTTTGTTCTTTCTCGGAACTGTCCAGTGGCCGACCAGCCATCCATCTCTCTAACCAGCTCCAACCCCATGTCGGATTGCTCGGATCCATGAACATCGGGTTTCCAGATTTAGAGTTGTTCTTCCAGTTTTGCTGCAAACACGATTCATCACATCATTTAAACGAACCACAGATTCAAATCTAATGTATGTGTTCACTCTTTTTTAACTGTATCTTTCCACAGATTCAACATCAGGTTACACTGATTGGATTAGATTACCTGATGAGTGTATGCATAAGCCAATGCCCTTTCCCTTCTCATAGTTGCCTCATACTTGCTCAGCAATTTAGCTTCAACTTTTTCCTTCGATTGAATACTATCATCCCAGTTGTCCCCGTTCTGAGAGCAAGCATAAGAAGAAGAAAAACAGAATCTATCAGCATAAGTCAAGAAGACTCAAGAGATTTCCATTTTTCAGATCGAAAAGAAGAGACAGTTGAGTAAGTAGATAGCCACTTGAAGAAAACTGAATCAAATGGTTGTAAGAAAGAAAAGGAGAGAGACCTTCAAGCCAGCAAGCTCCTTGGCATGCTTCTGAAGGAGTTGTTTCTGACGAGCCTGATTCTCTTCCGACATTCTGATTCTCCTAGCTCGGATCTGAGACTGTACACGAGAAAGAGTCTGCATACACTTTAAAGTATTTGCTGCTTGACGTTTAACAACAGACCCTTCCATCAATAACCTAAGCCTGACCAAACCCCTCATTGCCCTTAGTGCTCTTCTTGCCTGTATTACACAAGACAACATTATACTCCGCCAACGAAAACTCAAGAGTGGACTTTTAGGAAGCAAAAAACATACCAAATAGCCTCTAAAAACAGTCTGAATCAAGATGGCAGCGGCTTCTTCGTTAGACTTTCCAGCAAACCGAGCAGGTGCAGCACGAGGACGAACCACCACCTCAGGAGGAGCAGATGAAGACGGAACTACAGGAATATCGGTGGTGGTAGCATTCACAACATCTGTGGAAGGAGGGGAAAGATTCCTGTTCTGTTCAACAATCACTTCAGCTACTCTCACCTCAAGAGGAGGAGGAGGAGGGAAAGATTGCCTGGCGTTGTCGGCCAGGTGAGGAGGGTTAGAGATCACACCATTTGTGCTCTCCAGAGATTTACGTTTCGACTTCTGAAAAAACATTAAAACCATCAAAATATGAATCTCGCAACAAATATATATAAAAGTCACAAACTTTTGCATACCTTAGAATCAGGGCTGAAGGCTTTCTTAACGCTAGAAAACCACTTTGCTTTTTTCCCCATCTCTTCACGTCTTTTTTCCTGTGTGATCCTTCACACAGATAAAATCACAATTAATTTCAAAGAAAACTTAAACCTAGTAGTTATCTCTAATACACGCTTCCTCTAATAAGAAGACAATAAAAGCTTAAATCAATCAATTCAACAAATAGCCAGATCTTTCTTATCTATGAGCTAGAATTCTTCAAAGAAACTCGAACAATTTAGCTCGAAATCAAGAGGAAAGAAGAATCGTACCTGCGATAGACAGTGACACCAGATCTGATAGAAGACGAAGAAGAAGAGCTACAAAAGTCTTCAAGGTAAAAACGAGTCCACCCACCTAAAAACGCGCTTCTCTGTGAGCTAATCGGAGAAGAAGAAGACGAAAAGGCTTTTTATCGAATCGGGTGAGTTTGGGATCTTTGCTGAGGTGGGAAGATATCTTCTCTTCTTCACATTCTCATTATTGCCTAGAGATAGAGAGAGAGAAGACAGATGGATTCAAAAGCTGTGTGTAGAGTATTTGTGACGGTGTGTGTTTCTGCGTGATCCCACTTATTGGGCCGCTCTTTTGGGCCCCACTTCCCCTTTCTTTTACCTACTTGGTTATTACTGTCTTTCTTTTTTATTAACTTCTTGTGGTAATTTGATTAGTTTGTGGAATCAAAAAAGGTAATTATAAGTTTGATTCTTTAAGCTTCATTAACTTCACAATTACGTCAACATTGTGTTAAACTGAAACGTGTGACAAATTTTTATTTACTGAAACGATATTTAATGAAATTTAACAAAGAGTAACGACTTGTAATGAACTAAAGTTTTATCTAGATATGGGTCATTGGCAACGTTGGCCATCTATTACATTGTACTGATAATAGCTTCACCCAGTAAGATCGGTCCTCTACTTGAGCTAAAAAGGCTAGTAAAGCAATATGGTTGAAAGTTTATATTCGTCTTTAGTGGGGTAAAAGTTAAAGTATAACACTGTCGTATTTCTATCATGGGAATATAAATATTTTATCGAACAACCATCTTTTTCTCGTTATAATAATAACATTTTATATCATCGTTTGTGTTACACAACTAGAAGTAGAACCGACAAAACATGTTAACAAAAATATCCACCAGTGAGACAGCCTTTTATCATTTAACAAATGCTCTAATAACACATTATAACGTATATTTGATTCTGGGTTCATGAATCATGATAATTGTTCACCATAAGTAAATTTTCCACTGATATATTTGACATATGATACATTAATTCATGCAACAAAACATATTTATCAGGACAATTCAATATGAAATTTAAATTATTTATATTTAACATATATACAACAAAAAACAGTTTCACTATATTTTATAATTTCGTTTTTTTGTTTGACATCAAAAGTATACTTTTTCATTATATCTCGAGAATACCATATTGACATACAATGTACTAGGATGATTGTAATATCATTTAATTTGTATAAACATTGGATTTAGTATTACCTGCCTAAAGCATTGACTTTCTGGAGATAAACACAACGGTTTCTTCATCAGTGGCCAGCTTGTACCAGTCTTCTTACTAATTTCGTTATTTAACAAAACCGAAAACTTCATTTTAAAATATCCCATCACACCAACTTGGTGTCACCAAGTAGCGTATTCCATTAACAAATAGTAACATTTTTCTTATGATAAAGTTGTTTTCATATATAAACAAGTGAGAATTAGACGTTGGAGCATAAAAAATCAACTAATCAAATAATTTATTGTCGTCTATCATATCGTAGTGTGTTATAAAAATGTATAAGAATATGCTTCTGGTAATTTAATTTATAATATTAATAGGTGTCGCCAAAATTGGTTGTTAAGTATTTTGATATGACATCTCACCTAATGTATACTTCTAGTTTCTAACATCTTTGTTTTTTTTTCAAGTTCATAACATCTTTGTTTTTTTCAAGTTTCTAACATCTTTGTTACGGGAAAAAGAGGAATCATTTCTCTTACGATTTTTATTTGAACGTTGCTCTTACAAACTCTCTCCCCGTCGGTCCATTTTGTTTTTTGGTCTTTGCATTTTAGCAAGTGAAAGATATATCAACAAATCATAAGTTTATACCTTTAGTATTTTTAAACCGCACCGTTACCTCTAGACAATTTTTTTTCGTAACTAATAAATCTAATCAATTAGGCGGTAAATAAAGGAAAATATTTTAAATGTATTTGCAGTGCTTTTTTATAATCTTTTTTTGCAGACCTAAACACAAGCGATTGATTATATATATAAACCAATGGAATTTGGAAAACAAAGGCGACTCGAACCGAAAATCGATTTGGCAGTATATGTAGTAATGTCAGTGGGTCATCCAAATATAGCCAGAGCCGTTACCGTGTAATAAGATAAGCCAGAGAGTTGGTAACGACCCGATATTATGTCTTGTCGTCGTAACGCAACGGCAGAATTTTTATTTTAATCTTTTGCAAAAAGATGATGGTAGAAGCTTTAACACCTAAACCTCATCCTCATAAATTACTTATACTTTTTATCCCAGTAAGTTTAACTGAGTAGAGAGTTTATATGGATAGGTTGGTTGGTCCACAAACTTGGTGAAGTTCCATTTAGGAGAGTCATCGTATATTAACCTCATAATCTTACATAAAGAAAACAAGTTGTTTCACGTTTAATGATAGGATTGTTCTACGTTTCGTTCAGGACATGATGTAACTTCTAAATCGTGAAAGTCTAAACTTTCCAACTGATATACATGTTGGTCTAAGGCCAATACACATATATAGTATGTTCTTATATCTGGGTGATAGTACCACTTTTCTTTGTGGGTTTTAAATAGTTACCTCAAGGCTCAATGTTAGGATTCTGAATCAGGAAGCGTGCATTGTGTAAGAGGGAAGTAGTCTCCTCGTTTGACGCATCAAGCAAACGCAATTCCTTGATCTCCTCCTGCCATTTCTCAACATGCTCCTTGTGTATCCTGTTCATATTTGTCAAAAAAAAGATTATACTCATATGAGTGAGTAAACATGCCAATTATGTTACACAGATAAAACATTATATAGTCTCTTTTATCTCACATGATCAAGCGTTCTTCAAATTCGTTGCTGAGTTCCTTAAACATTGTCTTTCCTGTGTCTAGCAGATTAGAAACCTACAACAATAAGAAATGAGAATCCTCTCATCATCTGGGACAAACATATCAGATTCTTGTTAAAATCAAATGCGTTTATTAACCATCAGAGCTTACAGTTTGTGTGAAGTTCTCAATCTTTTCGAGAATCTGAGCAATGTTAAGTTCCATCTCATCAGAAGCAACAATTTTCGTCTCAGTTTCTTCATTCTCAGTTGCATCCAGGCCTATTCCATCTCCCAAATCTCTTTTTTCCTCTTCATCCTATCAAATTCGCAGCCAAAACTTACAAAACATAATCTAATCTCCACCACAGATAAAAAAAAATCGATAGAAAACATACAGATGGCTTCATGCGTTTACGAGACCCTCCGTTTCCTGCTTCTTCTTCCATTGCCAATCCTTATCTAAACCTGCAGTGGTAGTTGCGAACGATTCTCATGACATTCCGAATCTCCGACGCAAAAAATGCACGATTACACATTCCGAACAGATATTTCGATAAGGGATTCGAATCGATGCAAGTGGAATCTGATACGCAAAGCATCGCAATAGTTAATCGATTCGCGAAATATGAATCTGTATACGATTACATCCCTAACAATCTTCGAATATGATAAATAGAGAGGAAAATTACGCTAATAGATGCAATCCACGCGACAATGAACGAAGAAGAATTGCTCGGCAAGAATTCGAGAGAAGATGGAGGAGTTTTAGCTAGACTGGGAAAAAGCGAGTGACGAGCAAGGAACCAATTTTTTTATTGTTTCAAAAATCTATTATATATAAAAGTTTTAGTTTATATCTTAATTAACATTTTAAACGTCATTAGTTATGAATAACCTTCTACACGAGTAAGAAGGTTTAAGCATTTACTGTTTCCCCTTTCTCCTCCTCCTGCATTCATTGGCCTGCTTGTAACACTAATGCAAAAATCCTCAACTAGTGAGACAAAACTGTATTACAAGTTACAACAACAATACAACCCAAACAAGAACGAAACCCTTTGTATATGTCAACTCTCTATCTCCCACACTTTCTTTCGTTACGATGACTGGTTTCCTTTGATTCCTATCATCCTACTTTCTTCCTACTCCCACATGATTTAACCCTAAACTCCATAGGCGATTTCATTCAGCGATTCCATAATCTTCACCAAAGTATTTATCCACAAGACTGTTTGCCATGACTCTCAGCTCTTCGTTTTCATGGAACTGGAACCTCTCCATTGCATCTATGCCGTCTTCTCCTTCCACCAGCTTTGGACCTTCTCCGTTTGGCATTCCTCTTAATACCTAACCAATCAAAACCCATAATTCAAGATTCAAGAATGACTATGAAGCATCAACATAGATGTAAACTCAAACTGGGGCCTAGCTGTGCTTTTAAGACCATTTAATCAGTTTGCTTACCAGCTCAATGAATTGAAGACCAAGCCTAGCAGCTTCTATATCAGGAGATCTGACCAGGTCAATAAAAACCCCGGAGGCAACCGCCACTGACAATGGAGACTAAGTGCTCTTGAATTATCCTTGGTCTTGTGTCTCCTTCTGCAGATTCTACACACAGGTTTCCCAGGACATAGGCGACTTCTTTCCTTATATCAAAGGGGGATGTCGAAAGAAGCCGTAGCAGCAATGGCATTGCTTCAGTAGAGTGTATCATTCTCTTGTGTTCAATAGATCCCGCAGCTATATTAGACAATACCCACGCAGCTTCCTACAAAATTGAGTTCAGTGATGAAGAAAGATAATTTTTCAGAGGAATACGAAGTGGGTATGCGATACTGACCTTCTTTAAGACTCGATGTTCGCTTCTTAAGCATTTTGCAAGCACACCAATGACATTTTCTGAAAATTTGATCCGGGGTGTTAGTATACTGAACAAGATAAATGATTAAGCTAACGGTGTATCCACCGATACTCACCTTCAGTGTTCTGTCCACTGATAAGGATGGTTAACATTGCTTTGGGATCAACAGAGACAAAGTTGCCTACACTTTGTAGAACCTGAATTCAAACTCACGTTCAGATAGAATCCACGAGGTAACATTTAAAAAAAAACATCAGCATGTACTTAGTATTCTGTTTTCAACCAATCCTATGTTTATATGGGTATGAATGAAATAAATGCAACCTTGAAGCAATTCCTTGATAAGCATAATCCATGGTAATATATGAACTAAAAACCAACTGGAATCCTGTTTCTTTTAGAACAATTAGGACTGTTTGAAAGTTACCGGGATGAGAAGTTGTAGGCTGTGTGAAGTTGCTAATCTTTCCACAAGAAGTTGAAGAATGCCTCCCTTCAAAAGCATACTTGTAGCAATATCTGAGAGAGCAGAGAGGTAAACAACAATCCAAGCAATTTCCGTGGCAATTTCCGTGGCAATTTCTTCATCCCTGAATCCAACAATCAATAACACTCTGATAAAATTATCCACCAAAGTTGACAAATAGAATATCGATGAAATGCAAAAGACTCCCATGAAGCTCAATAATCAGGAAGAAGACATCACAACAAGCTATACACTTCTGCTGCAATAAAAGAAATGAAACTTTGCTCACGTTTTTTTCAAGTGTCGGAGAATTGCCTCAACTATCCCATCGACTCTGACAAGTTGCGCTGCTGCCTTTGATTCAGGTCCCTATATCAATGCATAGTGACATTACTCTGTGACAATGTATTTGAGATCATAAACCAATGTGAAAAAACAAGCGCCAGACTTTTTCACACCTTAATCAGATTTGACAATGCCCATGCAGCTGTTCTAACAGTAGAACCCTTGTCTGGAAAAATCATACGTGCTAGAGGTGGCAAAGCCCCTTGAGACAAGAGTACATTTCTCAACTCTTCTCCTTCACCGGCAACATTACCAATAGCCCAAGCACACTGCTCAGCCACCGGCGCAGAGCTCTTTTCTGAATACACTAACTTGGAAAGCATAAGAAACCTAATCCAACAAAAAGAAAAGAGTAATAATAACAGACTTAGTTGACCAGTAACGAACCTCCAACGTGAGCAATGAGCAACGGCAGTGCAGGTAATAGAGATTTTGTTTCTTCAGGTTTTCCAGCAGCAATGTTAGTAAGACACCAAGCTGCCTCAAGCAACTGTAGTTAAAAAGAAGTAAGATCAAAGATCATAAACCTACTTCATTTGTCTTGAATAAATCCATATTAGTTATTTGGAATAATCTCAAACTTAATGTAAGAAACCTGTTCATCGGGAGAGCCAAATGAAAGACACTGCACAAGCAAAGGTATGGCACCAGCGCTGAGCGCAACATCAATAGGAGGGAACTCAGATTTTGACAGTAAACGCCTGAGTTCCCTAAGAGCAGCCACCCTCTTCTGCATTGCACCTTTCCCCCTAAAAAATGAGGAATAGATATCATTACATCAGATTTCATTAAAAAAGTTTGTTTTGGGTAACGCTATTCCATAACACAACCCAAACTAGTGAAGAAAACGAAATCAATTCCCAGGCATTCTGGTCTTTCCAAGTTTACAGAAATCACTTACTGCTACTGAACAGAAGACTTAAGCTCTTCCACGGCTTTACTGGTCTGAGCCTCCAAAACTGGCTGCTCTTCATCAATCATCATCTCATTCTCAACATGAGCATCCTCATCATCACCGCCATTAGTACCAATCCTACAAACCCGCTTTTCCCCTAACAAGTAACTCTCTTCTTTCCTTGGCCACCGTAACAGCTTGTTGCCGCCTTCTTTCTCCCGCAACATTCCCAACTACACAACCGTCATATCCACAAATACAATCAAAATTCCATTTCACATATTGAAAAAATATCCAATAATTCTGCAAAACAAAAATAACAAACAAGACGAGAATGGAAAAAATAACCTGAAGACTTAATAGGGTCTCTTCGATTAGACGCGGATCCATCATCTGCCATTGGAGAAGTCGGAGCACTGTTACTTTCTTCAAAGAGTAGGGTTTGATTCTTCAGAATTGTATCGGAGAAAAGGTTTAACGAAAAATTTCTCTGGCAAATTTAAATTTGACGAGTTGGATAAATTTGGATCCATTCAGTAATGCCCGCCCGACTACTCATAAATCCCGAAGGAAAAAATCTGTGTTTTAACCAATTTGTATTTTTCTTTAAGTCCCTAGTATTCTTAAGTAATTATGAATTATCACTATAACTTTAAGAATGTTCTACTGAGTCCAACGACTTTGCTTTTTCAAATATTAGTTTTCATATCTACTTTGGATCTATCCCACCCCCTCGCTCGATCCCACACAGCACCCAATGGACCCACCACAACAACTCAAGGCCGTTACCCTCACACACGTCCGTTACCATCGCGGCGATCACCTCGGCCATTTCCTCGCCTGGATCTCCCTCGTCCCCGTCTTCATCAGCCTCGCCGGATTCGTCTCTCATTTCCTCTTCCGCCGTGAGCTCCAAGTTATCTTCTTCGGCATCGGCCTCGTGATCTCTCAGCTCATCAACGAATTCATCAAAACCACCGTCGAACAGGCTCGTCCCGAGACATGCACTTTGCTCGAGGCGTGCGACTCGCACGGGTGGCCTTCGAGCCACTCGCAGTTCGTGTTCTTCTTCGCGACGTACTTTAGCTTGATGGGGTGTAAAGGGATCGGGTTCTGGTTTGGGTTGAGGAGGAGAGGGGTTTTGAATCTGTTGCATTGGTCGTTAGCTGTTGTGACTATGTATTCTAGGGTTTACTTAGGGTATCATACGGTGGCGCAGGTTTTCGCGGGGGCTGTGTTAGGGGTGGTTGTTGGTGGGAGTTGGTTTTGGGTTGTGAATAGTGTGTTGTTTCCGTATTTTTCGGTGATTGAGGAGAGTGAGTTGGGGAGGTGGATGTGTGTTAAGGATACTTCTCATATTCCTGATGTGTTGAAGTTTGAGTATGACAATGCAAGAGCTGCTAGGAAGAATAATATTAAGTCAGATTGATTTGGTAATTAAGTATGAGCTTTATTGAGATGGATCTGATTTAGCAGCTTGTAGAATAAATAAGCATGTGGGAAACAGCTTTAGCTTTTGATGGTAGTGGTGCGTGTGTGATTCTTCATTTACTCCTAAACTAATTTTAGATTTTGTAATGCAAATTAGGTAATGTTCTTGGTGTATAATGGCGTTTCTGAAAGTTTTTGTTGCTCGTGGCATTGATTGGTAACTAGATGGGTGGCACATTAGACCTTTTATTGATCTTAATGACATTTTCAGACTTATTTTGATACTTCTTGTTTTGATATACCAACTAGATGATGAAACTAGGTAGTCAAGATTTTGTAACATATTGTACTTGTTCTGTTTGGCTTTGTAGGTGTTTACTTTTAGAGTTAGAAAGACACAGGACGAACTATTTTAATGTATATATGAATTGCGTTCTCCACAAATTTCCAGAACCCAATATGCTTGTTTTGTCTTCTCAGATTTGATTTAGTTGTAAACTTTGAACTGAAGAGTATGTAGTCTTCTAGCTCTTGATCCATCTTCTTGATTGACACACTTTTGACATATGTATTATTTATTCATTGAATTGGAGTTCCTTGCATTTACGCATCCCCCAGCATTGAGTGCTTGCTTGATACTGATTATCAGATTTTGAGAATCCAAGCAGTTTCATTCATACTTTAAAACACTAATGGAAACATGCAAAAAACAGTGGATTTCCCTCCATTTCTGTTGTTCAATAATATTTGGCATTTGTATGGTTTTGTTATATTGTATCGTACTTTCACCTCTAGTTTGCAAATTTTGTGTTATCTTAAATCTATTTCTCAGTAAGCTTAATCAGAAGGGATAAAAACCAGTTGAAGTCGTTCTTTTTTGTAGTTCTGTAGCTATTCTAATCATCCCTCTTAATATTAAATCTATTTTTGCATTGCTTCATCTTATTTCAGGTTGGAAAAGCACTGTTGATAAGGCTCAAATGAACATGAAACTTACAAGAGCTTGCTTCGTACACGAATTATTTATGAAGTCATTTTTACATCCCTTTTTTCATATTGACCTATCTATATTGAAAGATACATTGCTTGATAGATTAAAGAGAAAAGTTATTGGTCTGTGGTTTTAGGATTCAAGCACGTCTAGTGTATTTTTTCAATAGTCAAGACATAAATTATGGAAATAACTGATAAGACTTATGATGTGTTACTTGAGTTCACATTGAAAATAGAAATTATTCTAGGTTGGTGTCTTTCCATGTGATTGTCGCTTTTGCTGTGTCTTCTTCACTTTGTCACTACACGCAAGAGTCAAAAACTTATTTCCGTCTAAAGCGGATCCCTATATTACGTTTCTGCAGACACTAAGGTCTCACATACATGTGGTGAAAAAGTGATATTCGAAGCTATTGTATGAAAATGATTACCTAAGTTTCTAGAGAAATTGAACAAACAAAAAGTTTCATCCACTGTTTCTAAATTATATGTCTGTTTCCATATGTTTTTTTGGTCTTTGAAAATAATCAACAAGTGTATTTTGGGTGGATATATTTCCATGGGTTAGTCGATAGTGGGAGACAAGAGTTGATAACTTGATATAGAGAGTTGAGTGATGCTTTTATTGTCCAAAAAGATTTTTACTCTATGTTTTTAGTCATATCCAAATCAGAACATCAAAAGCTACGTCAAATTCTTACTTCATATGTCCTAAATACATTAATCATCGATTCTGCTTTTGGTCCATCAACTTCTAGTGATCTCTTGGCCAATAAATTGCTATTTTCCGGAATTGGCTTCTCATCCATATTTGTTTGTGTGTTTATGTTTTGTTTGAAAATAAGCAATTACAAAAAAAGAAAAAATCAAATTCCAATTTTGAAATATCCTAAAATTGAAATGTAGTTTAAATAATTTTAGAAGCTCCCTAAAGAAATAGTTTCTTCGTGTGAATGATAAAAGTTACAAATGATCAACAACGTCGTACTAAGAGATGAAAAATGTTTACGTCATCAGAAATTTGGAAAAAAAATTGTAATTCCATATGTAAATGACGTAATAAGTTTTTTTTCCCCTTCTCGAACGTATGTTATCAGATTTTGGAAAGCAAAAAGGTAAATCTTCGAATACTCAACATTCAACAAAACGACACCTCCAAAATTTAGATTTAAATTTTCTAAAGATTCTTCCAAAGTAGTCAAAGATGCAGAAGAAGATTAAAAGAATATAAAAATATAGATTGTGTGGTTGAATATACTAGTTAGAGAACCACGCAATCTTGAAAAGAGGAGAAAAGTGAATTTAGAAGTTAATAAAAATGGTTTGTAATGAATAAGTAAGTGCTACAACAGATTAAGACGTAAATCATATTAAACGTACATTAAACAGCTTATAAAGTGAAGCTCATGAGTCATAAAGAACCTAAAACCGAAACTAAAAAGTAAATGTTTTATTTCGTAAAACATAAAAGCGTCAAAGTAAAAAATAAAACGGACAAGGTCCCGAGTGCAGACAAAGCAGACAGAACTCAGTGGGGGAGAAAAGAGGAGAGATATTCTAGTAAGGAAGAAAACGAATGATGATATCCCGGAGACCCGCTCCGAGTCCGGGTCGGGTCGATAAATATCCACCGCCTTTCATGGGGTTTCTGAAGAGCAACAGTAACGGCGGGAGCATAAGCAGAAACCGAAGCCGAAGCCGAAGCAAAGGAAGGTCCCGCGCGAGTCCTCTCTTCGTTCGCCGGAATAAATCTGCAGCAGCGGCGGTGACTCAAGAACCGTCGTCACCGAAAGTCACTTGCATGGGTCAAATCCGAGTCAAGCGATCGAAGCCCAAAACTCAACCCGAGTCTCGGGAAAACCAGGCCCGAAAACGATGCGAGTGGATCCGAAACGCGTCGTTTCGCAACGTTTTCCCCGAGAAAATCAAATCGTCGTCGTTTTGGCCTAAATGGAAACTGTTTACGTTTCCGTGTTCTCGGCGTAAACCGAAAGAGAAAGATTCTCCGATAAGCCAATTAGATCATCCGGCAACGGAACCAGCTATAGAAATTGAAAAAGAAGAAGAAGAAAGTTTCAAAATCCCTAAATTGTTTGTGTCGCCGGCTTCCTCCACGCCGCCGTTTAACGCTCTTTTGTTAACGAGAAGCAGATCGGCGCCATACAGTTCGTCTTCTTTAGCTTTCAGATTCTGGGAAGAAAACAACAAACGAGAAGCAGAAGCACGAGGCGTGAGAGAGCAAAACGTTAGATCGGGAAATACTAATTCGGAAGTTGCCGTCGCGAATTTGAGTGGGGTTAAGGAGCAGGAAGCGAACATTGACGAGAATGAGGTAGGGAGAACGGAGTTAGGGTTTGTACGGCGGCCGGAGTTGACAAGGAGCAAATCGGCGCCGGCGAGGATCGGGGAGAAGATGGTGTGCTTCTGTATGAAGAAGAAGGTTAGGCAGGGTTTAGGTGTGTCACGTGATTAGTCACTCAATTTGACTAATTCTTTGATTAATCGTTAGATTTCACTGATTAGTATGAATTTGACTTGTGTTAGTATAAAGTTATTTTTATGTAGATGTGATGTTTATAGGAAACAAATTGTAAAGTAGATTTGTATCCATACATCTATAGCGTAAGCGTAGGTATGTGTGGCATTTGAAAATGTTTAACAATACATTTACAAAATCCTTTCAAGATTTTCTATAGTTTAACATTTCATATTCTACTTTTTGACCCAAAAAAAAAAAAAACATTTCATAGTCTATTTAATTCCGGGAATTAAACAAAAATAACTTTTTTTAGTTTTTTTGAAATCATTCAGAACATTACGATTACAAACTCAGTTTGTTAACGAAACATAAATTTTCTAAAATGATGTCTTTGATATCTCCTATATATTAATTGAGGATCTTTTAATAAGTTATAAGCTTAATTTGGTAAAAATTAAAAAAAGTTCTATCTTATTTGGTAGTGGTGTATGTCTTCTAAATCTCATTTAAAAAAATTCTATATCATCTTACATCAACCATAGTTTTAAAACTAGATATGCTCATTGCATATAACAGATATCAAACTAAATAACATATTAAACTAAATCTCCTATACAATTTTTTCTTAAATAAAACCTATATGATTACCTAATATAATTAAGATATATATGATATTTAATGATTTTAAATAAGAAAGATTTGTTAACAATTTGTATACTTTATATCATTTTTGTTTAATTTTATATTACTAAAATAAATTACACAACTACACTAATCATATAATAAAAATTTAGATTTTCTTATATATGTTGTATTTTTAAATTTGTAAAACGATTATAAATTACTAGAACTGTTAAAAATTTCACTAAACTTTGTGATCAAGGTCTAAATTGTTTTCTATAATAAGTTACAATGATTATAAAAACATATGAATAAATAATTTTATTTCAATAGGTGTTTATGTTAATATATATATATATATATCATATCGTCTAAATTAAATTATATATCATATGAAAATACATACTTATATTTTGATATTTGTATTGAACATATATTGAAAAGTTAATATTTTAATTTTGAAATATTCATTGTTTTCTAAATGATTATAAATTATTGAAACCACTAAACATCACACATTAAAAAATAACGTTGGTGTAACATTCTGTTACACAAATATGCAAATAATCATAAAATCATATGAGTAGAAATTTCATTTAATAAATATCTATGTTAAAAGTATATTATATATCTATGTTAATATCATTTAAATTTAAATATATATCATGTACTATAGATGAGATTGAATGTTTTGATTTATTTGCCTTTAAAGGATTGCAAATAAACAAGAACAGTCGTTTGCTTTATATGTGTATGCCAATTTATTACATAATAATATTAGTACCTGATTGCTTAGTTATTTAACATATAATTATTATTTTTATTAATTTTAAATATTTTCTAAACCTTATGCCAAAAACAAAAGAACAAAATGAGAATAAACTCAAAAATCAATATTTATATTGAGTAATAATCAAAATGAAAAAGCGACACCAAAAAGAAAAAAATATTGAATATAAATAAGATTGGCACGTAAATATAAATTTCTCATAACCATAATTAGTTTTTAAATTGCTAAATCATGATATAAATTTGCGATGACATAGTTTCATTATATCCAAATAGTAGGCTTGAGATTCTTGCACCTAGACGTTAGATTCTTATGTGATATATGATTTTTTAACTTAAAATATTTTTAAAAATGAGATCAGCTCATGAATCAACAAATTATATAATTAACCAAAAAAGTAAAAAGAATTGTTTAATGATCAAAAATATTAATTCAATCAAAAATATAATTTATTTTTTCATATGATATTTCTTAAATATTTTTTCATATAAATTCACCATGCATAAGACGCAGGTCTTATCCTAGTTGTTTTTGTAAATCAAAATATGGCCGTTCCTATTCAGTAAATTTGTGTCAAGTGTAGTATGGATCAATTTTGCAAAAAGAAAGGTGAAGCTTCTTCTAGCTAAAATAAGGAAGCATCTTCTGGCCCAACTTATAGATGGACTTACATTTTGTAAGGCTTTTAGTTAAAATGTTTGGACCAATTGAAGACACAAAATGTAGTCATCAATAGTTTAGGATCTAAACTTCATACTACTACGTGACAGAAAACATATATGAAAACATAAGAGTATTGAATAAAGAAAGAGAGGAAGGGTGGGTGGGTGTGAAAATGAAGGGAGACGCCTAAGCAAACACAGCCATGAAATAGCTGTAGAGATGAATATGGACCCATAACAATTTATTGTTTTATGAAGACGAACCACGAAGTTTTGGACAAAATCATTTATGGATTCCTAACACAGACACATATCTATAAATGTAAATGATAGTACTACAAAATATTTCAGTTGGCATCCCCCAATACAGAGACATCGTCTCACCTAATTCTTCTTTTGAAAAATCAACTTATTTTGAAACCAACTGAACTAAAAACTAGTGTGGCTGGCTTTTTCGATACGATTGTTCGGATTTTGATGTTTTTTTAAAAAAATCGTCTGTTTGTTAATTACACCATGAATGAAAACAATTTAAAATTTACATAGGGTTTCATATGAAGTCAAAGGTTTTCCTTCTGAACTATAATTGTCCACAGTCAAGCATACGTGTACGGATGTACTTGGGTTATATAAAAAATATCAGTATTGACGACACAAATAAAAACTCAAAAGCTATAGTAGCATGTTTGATGGTTTTGGAGAGTCAACTTTCTTAAACAAGGGTATAGTGTTTTTCTTTGGTCAATTATGTACGCATCCTTTATCTATAGCTAGAGTCTAAAGAATCAGTCTTATAAACACAAATACTATTTTGTTTTTGCGTGTATAATTGTACGCATCCATTATCTATAGAATCTAAGAATCATATAGTCTTATAAACACAAATATTATTTTGTTTTGCGTGTATATATATATAGCTTCTTGGAAAAATGTATGTACAGATAGATGTATTAACACACTAAAAGTTAACATGTCTTTACAAAATACTAGTTAATATTTCATGTGTTTCATAATAAATATCATTTTACCATTTTTTTTTTTTTATTCTACATTTCCAATAGAAGTTTTTACATATAATTTCTTTATTACTTTTTTATAGCACCAACAAATTTTCATTTAAATCATTTTTATTTTAATAATTATACATTAAATAAGGTTATATTAGTATACTTTGTCATTTTCTTAATTCATGTAAAATGTAGGAGTATTATATGTGTATAAACGGGATAGAAAAGTTCAGGTACTTACTAGTTTTTTTATTTCTCGAATTCATGAAGCTACTCTCTCTTGATCTTCATGTTGTATAAACAAATATTATTACATGGCACTGATATATATATATATATATATATATATATATATATATATATATATATATATATATATACTATATATATATATACTTCACTGATGCAAGATGATGAATTTAATAATATTGGTAGTCTTAATCGATCGACCGACTTGAAATAAATGGGAAGGTAGAAGAGTACAGAGCTGTACAGTTGTAAGAAGTGGGGATAGATGAAGCATCTTATAACATTAAACTCAATGTATATCAACTTCATACCAGCGATTTCTCCAATCTGTAATGTTTTACATGTACGTAAGCGATTTAAAATATATAGATTTTCATATCACGGCCAACTAACAAACTATCTTGACTGTGTCTGGCGTCAATAAGTAACTAGGGCTGAGCATTTTATCCGTTATATTTGATTCGATCCGTTATTCGTCTCGATTCGATCCGAAAATTCCGGATATCCGTAAACTTTCGAATCAAAGCAAATATTAAAATTCAATATCCGTTAAAATCGAAGCAAATCACAAATATTAAAATTTTGGAAAGCGGATATCCGATCCGATCCGTTAATATATAAATATATGTATATTTTGATTATATTTAAAATTTTAATTGTATAAAATTATATAATTATTAATTTAGCACATGATCTTGAACAATTCTATTCAAATTATCCCCTATATATTAATTGAGGAACATTTGAAAAGATGTAACCTCAATTTTGTATTAATTAAAAGAGACCCCAGTGCATAGGTGTCATTCAATTAGGTAGTCAATTAGATTCAATTGAAAAATAAGTAAGTCACATTAGATTTTTATAGGTTGCTAGATACATTAGTTAGTCAAACTATATGGTATAATGATATGATATGCTATTTTCTTTCCATAAATAAAACCTACGGAATTACCATAAATGACTAATATATATATATGACACTTAATGATTGTTTCCTAAGATATAATTACTATTTTATTTTATTTCCATAAATAAAACCTACGGAATTACTATAAATGACTAATATATATATATGACACTTAATGATTCTAATAATAAATATTTGATAAAAATTTATATATCCTCCATCATTTTTCTTTAATTTTATATTATTAAAATAAATTAAACAATCAAATTAGCTATAAAATTAAACTTTAGATTTTTTCGTATAGGTTATATTTTGAATTTTAAGAAACGAGAATAAATAACTATACTATTAAAATTATTATGTTAAAAATTAATGATCAATAGTTTAACATTTTATTATAAAAA